AGTCGTTATTAGGTGAGGCGAGGACAAGCTACGTGCAGACTACGAACAGTTACTGTCAAGAAAGCTTTATACAATATACGAACAGTGGGGATAGTTACCATGCAATGACCCATGGAGATTTAGCAGCCCATGCATGTCGTAAGAGGCGACTATGGGGATCGGGTGGTCAGGCTCGCTGACTTGATTGACACATGTCATCATATCCCAGTTTCGTAGATTCGATGCTGTTGATGTTGATCATTGGATTGTCTGGTCCAGACCCGTGCGGTATTAAACAATCAACCAACCATCATGTAATGCGGTCAAGACAAGCTTTGTCCAGTCTTCGAATAGTGAGGACAGTATTCAGTGATGACTGTTGTTGGACAATGAGGGTAGTCCACATGCTGTGAGGTAATGCACACTACGAACATAGACTACATACGGTTATGACCAGTTTCCCATAGCCAACGGACAGTTTCCTTGCGGTACGGACAGTCTTTGATCGGCACTTGAAGGACAGTGTACAAGGGGTGAAGGCAATGCGCGGTAGGTTCCACTGACTGACTGACTGACTGACTGAGTTTAGTTTTAAGCCGTTTTGAGCAATATTCCAGCAATATCACGGCGGGGGACACCAGAAATGGGCTTCACACATTATGCCCATGTGGGGAATCGAACCCGGGTCTTCGGCGTGACGAGCCAACGCTTTAACCACTAGGCTACCCCACCGCCCCCGGTAGGTTCCAACACTCTGTTTTAGGTCACGGTCTATTGGAGGGTAGTGCATTTGACTTTTGGTGTGCAGTTCGAGATGACAATCTGCGGACTTCCTACGGACAGGAAGAGGGACAATCTACAGAGAGTGTAGTGAAGGTCAGATCCACAGGGTCGCTTTACTTGGCATATGGACAGATGGTGTTCAGGTCGAGATGACGGGCTGGCACCGGGAGGACTGGAGATAGGGACAGTATACGAGAATGTGTATCGAAGGTGACTGCAGTCTGCGGACGCTATGCAGATGTTGTAAGGGAGGTTCCAGCGGCCAATAGACATTTTGCTTGAGGACAATCTACTGAAAAAAGGAGGGGCAAACGGCCTAAGAACATTTTACATGGAGCATGGACAGTTTTCGAGCAATCTCGAAAAACAGTCTACGGACGGTGTGCAGAATGTTGATAATGTGCTGGCAGTTTACAGGGAGGTATTGACACTCTACGATCTGTCTATCGGAAGGGGCACCGGATGTGACGCCAATCTAAGTGCTGTCTACAAGTGGTGCAAACAGTCTTATTCATGTATGAAGAGTCCACGAACAGTCTGCCGGAGGTAAGGTCGGTCTACGGAGATCTACTGAAAGGTGAATGAGGATCAATCTCATGGGAGATGGTGGTTCCCTAAGGGCCTTAGCGGATAGTCTGTGGACTCTATGAGCAGTGTGATTCATGTTAAGGATGCAGTTGCGGGGAGTAAGGAAATATTTGGTTAATGAGGGCTGTCTTGGTCAGACTGTGCTCGGCGAAATCAGTCTTGAATGAGCTCAGTTTCACTGACAATCCCTTGCAGCGAAGAAGCGAGTTACAGACTGCTGATATTACACATGTATACGGAGTGCAAGAGGACTGGCACGCTGGTCACAGTGCGATAGCCAGTTAACACATAGAGGGCATGTTTGTTCGTTTGTGCTCGTTCGTTCCTTTGTTAAACTTTGTTTATTTTTTTAACGCCTCACTCAGCACTGTTACAGCTATCTGACTGCGGTCTGTGACAACCAAGTGATCAATATGATGAGCATCGATCTACGCAGTTGGGATAAGATGTCATGTGTCAACCAAGTCATCGAGTCTGACCACTCGATTCCGTAATTTGTCTTCCGTACGCATGGGATGCAGAAGACCAATTCTAACCGGGTCCGTGGAGGGAGCGAATTCTCAGTGTCTTTTTTTTGGTCAAAATTCAGGACAAATGTTGTTTACACATTTACTTTCTCCCAATGAGTTAATATTGTTTAACGCTGCAGTCAGACGTATTCCTGCTATGGTGGCATTTGAATAACAAGGACCTAGTGAATACATGCATGAGTCATCCACACAACTGAGGCGCTTTGACATTCGAAAATCTAACGTTTGATTAAATAATCGGATAAAAAATTAAATGCCGAGTGGGTTCAAAAACATACAGATTTGAAGTTGATTAAAATGCTCACTGATAAGAAGTATAAGAACTATTAATTGTTTCCTGTTCATTATGATACTCCATAAAGCGTAAAGACTATGTAGATTTTACTGCTGCTTCGTTATCATAGTCACAGTTGCAAGTTTCATTTTCAAAGTGTTTCAAAATAAATGTCACCAGTAATCCATTATTTACTAACAATGGTATAGAATTATTGGTAGTCATGTAAATCCACAGATTGTGTGTCAATCATAAGAATGCTGTCTACTATACAGTTCCCGGTGTAGTCCAGCGGTAATGGCTTTCCTTGGTGTCGATCTCCCACGTCGGCACTGTGTGCACACCTATTTCTGAATGCTTGTTCTTTCTTTGTTGTCATTTCTGTATGCATCCTTCTGTTGCAGATATTTGACTGACAAAGGAGTGTGTACTGTGCTTGATTCTCACAGTCAACGTTTCCACTTACACCTTGAAATCTGGAAATGGTAGGGTCATGGTTAGGGGGCATACGCCGAATCTTGAATATTTGCTGAATTAAAATATTCAAAACATGAACCGTGTGATGAAACGTAAATTTTAATACCAATTATAAGAACAATCACAAAGTTTAACATAATATGTCAATAAAACACTCATATATTGAGCTCCATTCTTGATTTAGAACCTTTCAGGAAAGGTCGCTTAATCCCTCTGGAGCATTATTTCTATCAACCTTACTGGTTTTGCTATCATACAGTTCGGATTCATTTCAATTCATCATTCATCGTTTGTGTATGAACTTGCAAAACAGCAAATAAAACGCGCTGAGCGTCCACGCGGGAGGAGTCAGAACGCAGTGATGCCCAAAACGTTCAATGTTTCACACACTTCGATTTGCAATAGGTACCAACAACCGATAATGTTTATGATTGATTCCCGTCCCAGATACACGAAGAGAGTACGGGACCAATCGATTCAAAAACAGGCTCTTCGCACGAAAACTTGCAGGTCACATTGGCTGCAAACTTACAACTATGGGGACACGTGAAGATACGAGTTTGAACTGATCTTCAGTAACCCCAAAGAGGCGACTAACGGGATCGGGTGGTCAGGCTCGCTGACTTGGTTCACACATGTCATCGGTTCCCAATTGCGCAGATCGATGCTCATGCTGTTAATCACTGGATTGCCTGGTCCAGACTCGAGTATTTACAGACCGCCGCCATATAGCTGGAATATTGCTGAGTGCCGCGTAAAACCAAACCCAACCCCACTCACTCACTCACTCTTGGTGAAGTAAGTCATGTTTTCCTCCTGATCGAAGGCCACGACTTGTGTAACCCTTACAAATAATCACATTGATATCAGAAATGAGACCAGGGACCAGGGACCTCATGACAGATGTTGTGGGATTGCATCAACATGCCTGAGCGATCCCGACTCTGTATTGTGCAAAGAGTGAATGAGTAAGTATCGTTATAGATCTCTTTTATCAATATTCCAGCAATATCACCAGAAATTGGCTTCACACATTGTACCCATGTGGGGAATCGAACCTGGGCCTTCAGTGTGACAAGCGAAAGTTTTAACCACCGCCCCACTGTGCAAGAAAGGGTCGCTGGGCAGTTTATTGACACAATATACAGACACTATGTGGTGTAAACATAGTTTTATTCATCACAATGAACTGTGATTGGGGATTTACAGCTTATGTTAACACCGCTCCCATACAACATATAATGTGAAATGAAATTAACTATGTGAAGTCATCGATATTGACTATTATATAAATAATATATGAAAACATATTACATAAAATCCAAATACAACTATTCTCTAAGTAAACATGAATAAGCGTAAAATTTACCACTTACCCTTTTCGTGTATCATGCCTGACGACCGCTGCCTCTTTCATTTTTATTATCATGCCAATATACTACTACAAACCACAGGACCGCGTGTCTTTGCGAGGATTAAAGATTTTTAAAAAAAACATAAAAAAATTTGAGATGACACCCGACTCGAAATGCTTCACTGTACAATAACTCATAACAAGGCCGGACACTTCGGTGCACCCCACCCGCCTGCTTTGCCGATCGCCACGCTACCATTGCATGCAATCGATTAAAACTTAATGTAAACATAGTCATGGATGATTGGCTTATCGAGCACCACTCATAACACCTACCAATTCTTTATTGTTATTTCTGCAAGTCGATTGAAACCCGATTTTGACTCTCAACTAAACGATCTTGACACAAATGGATGACGATGTGTCCGCACAAACGAGGGTGTGGTCGAAGCAAGTCTTCTGGTTGGTTGATGCTTGTTAATGAAGACATTTACAACTGATCGATGCTTTCTTTTGAGAAGTCATTGCTGGAAAACAATCCCCGCTAAAGTAAAAATCCTTGCGAATTTATAAAGAAAGTGCAGATTTACAAGGTCTTGATTGTTTTTTAGAAATCTTTAATCCTTGCAAAGACACCAGGGCCTGTGCTACAAACTAATATCCATTATAATGATGGTAATAGTAGTTATGTCCGAGTATCTCCTATTTATTTCAATGGGTGTATAAAACAGTTAAATGAGACAGAATGTCTTTGCACTTTGGAAACATCTGAAACAATAGGTACAGTCAAATCCCGATGAGTCGAATGCCTGTGTCTCGAATATTATGCATAACTCGAAGTACCTGTCGGTCCCGACCATTCCCTGTTATAGTTGTCATCATTTGATTACCGGTTACACGAATTCGTCTCATAAATACACACGATGACTCGAAAAGGAAATTTGGTCCCATGAGATTCAAACAACAGTTATCTTGTATACATAAGCCGAAGTCAGTCAATGAGAAGTTAATTGGTGTAGCTAACTGATCCAGCGCTCCTCGCACCTTTCCGCTATTGTCGGGTGAGTTCAAAAGGATAAGTGAAATGATGAAGAAAATGAGATGGTCAGATGAAGGGATTCAAGCTTCTGTTATGGCCGATATGTTTGTGTCAACACGCGTGTCATTGCCGTCTACCTTTGTCATTTCCATCTGGGTTTGATTGGCGTTACGAGAGCAAGTGACTTTTTGGATCAACAGGGTTCTGTGATGGTTTGAAGATATAATGAGGACATAGAAATTCATGGCGTAGTTTACCAAACGTACAACGTTAAACACATGCCACAAACTCCCGAACAGTCCGATGAGGTACCGGTCAGTGTCTGACACAATCAGTATGTATTCAATGAGGTAAACTATAGCGAATGGTACAAGAGCGAGCGCGGACAGAACCGACACCAGCACGATGCTGATGGTGATTTTTCGGACATTGGCTTCCATGATGTGCGACACGCTCCTTGTAGAGCGACACAGAGTGACAACAGTGTGGATATTGAAGCCAAAAAGGAGCGATACGGGTAACAGCGATTCCATTATAGCAGACAGAAACATGTAATAATTTTCAAGATCAGGGTTAACCACTCCACAGATATAACCTTCCTTTGTTTCATCATCAGGTATGTACTCCGCTGCATGAACTAGGGGCGATACCAACACCATAGCAACAACACATATGATTACGCTCACTACTATGGAGACGAGAGGCCTACAGACACGTTCTGTATATCTTGGGTGAACTACGGTAACGTAGCGGTCGACTGACATCGACATTAGCAGCCAGGGAGAGATTATCAGAGAACATTCCAGGATGAAGGCCCACAGTTTACACACGACAATGTGACTGTTCAGGAAGGTCTCCAAGAGGTCATGCAAGTGGTCAAGGGTGTCCTCTGTTGCAACCATTGCTAGAACCAGAGAGTCAAAGACGGCAAGAAACGCCATGTAGATTGCGTAGGAATACCGCCGTTGCGTCCTGGACGTCATCAACACCATGGTCAAGATATTACCAACAATACCAATTGCGGCTATGATATCAATAGACAAGACGTACGGCCACGTCTGGACACGGAAGCCGGTGTATTCGTTGAAGATGTCATCGTGGGCCTCGTCGTTGCTGTGGGTGGTGTTATTCATCGATGCCCATGGTGTTGAGGCGTTTGGCAGAGGTGTAGCTTCGGTCGGCATATCCCTGATTAGTTTTGTAACTGTAAATGAAACACAAAAGGATGCACATTCAGATATAAGAGCAAATATGCTACAATGACCAAAGTAATCATTCGAAAGTGGCTTTCGTTGAGGATTTTCATTTTCAGTACCGTTTTCTGAATGCAACCTCTTATTGTTATATACTTTAATTTATTTTCTCTGTGCACAAACAACGCGTGATGCAGGTACACACAGACACCAACGTATGTACCCACTTTGGGAAATTTACAGTCACTATTTCTAAAGCACAAAAATGTCTCCGATACAGCATCTCAGTGGAGAGACAAAAATGGTCCCTGTTACAGCATCTGTGGGAACCAACATGACCAAGGTACCTTCCGGTTGGACAGCGTCAACACCAAGGGAACCATTCGCAAGTTAACCAATAGTTTGCATTCATAGTTTCATGCATCTATCGCCATCGTGGCATTGAATTACACGCCCAGAATTATTTATTCTGGTCAGGAGTACCTTTATTTTTTATCACATTACACATTTGTGAGGTAAAGAGTGATAGAATGTAAATTTAAGTAATGAGAGTAGTCACCAATCAGTGAAAGCAGTCACTTTACAGGTGTTGGGGGGGGTGGGATATATCGATTGGAATTTCGGAACGAACAAGAATTGAGCAATATTGATTAGGGGGAAAATGTTGTCCGTTTTACATCTCCAAATACAAATGAGATTACTTAGACCTACCAATAATGTACATTACATCAAAAACACAACCACAGAATAGACAATTACTTACAGATATTGATTGTTCGCCTTCTCTCCTGAGTATGGAGGCTGGTGTATGATCCACACGCCGATGTAGGATGGCTATACGTACGCACCTGCCCATCAACAAATGTCAGGCTAACCATGAACGTGGCTTAATATTGTCATTTCTATTGCCTCTCTGTGCAGTAATTATCCAGTATATAAAAATGTGTTACTGTTTTCATAACAAATGATGTTCGTTCAGATGAATACCGTCAATAATGTTCATTTTCCTTCATAGTGAACTCGACTCGCGCACGAGTTATTCGTAAAATATATCACAATATATATTTATGACACTCCGTGTTAATAGATTCTCACAACACTGTAGTTTGTAGAAAACGTACAGGTGATATCATTTTGATCCACGACTCAATTATGGCACGAAACCAACAACACAACAGAAATATTGCGGACAATGTGGGAAATAGAGCGAAATTATATACTGACCGTGTAAACAAGAGCATTTTTGTCGTTTTGAAAGGTGATATTGCTGGGTGTAACAAATAGTGATGATATTTCATAACAGTACTGCCACTGTATTTTGTACTGCGTTGAGTGATTTGTATTGATTTGTGAACTTTGTCAATTCTAGAATACAAGTATTGGTTTCACACCTAGTTCTCTTACAATCTGAATCCCGGTAAACCACTTTTCTTTCAAATTCGAAATCACAACGTGGCAAATTAGAGTCGTGTTGTCCTATGGCTTTTACACTATTGAAATTAACGTTGTTTATATTGTTTACTCGATAAATCGAATACCAGCAACGTCGGAAAATATACTACTCATACTTTGATAAGGATCACAAAAATTCACTTAAACGTAGATTTTTAATTTGAAACTGTCCATTTAAACTGGAAAAATAATGATATGGTAACCCCTCTTTAGGCATCACTTTAATCTAACCTTATGCACTTGATACATTAGTAACCATAAAAATGGTTTTAATGACACCAATCAACCATTTAGCAAATCATGCAACGAGTCATTGACAAGTACACAACACCTGTCAGTAGCAGGTATGGGATCCACAAGATTTTGTGTTTGTATGTTTGCTTGGGGCATACATCGTGTCCTTGCGTCAGCAAGAAGGCCTGCGTCATGTGCAGGGATGGAATGCCAGTGAACGCAACGTGCCGTATGTCGCCGACCCTATAAACCGTCAAACGCCTGGATGCGTCGTGATAGAACGGTATGATTTGGCTACAGAGAGAGAGACAAATAGTTTATTAATGTGTCACGCATACATCTCAGCATTTTGTTACAATATCAAAGCACAATATAAGAGTAAATGCCCAGCCAAATTGGCTTATGAGACACATAAGTAGCATGGTACTAGCATAAAATAAATATATATAGTTCAGAGGATAAAAATGCATGTCATAAAAACGTTGAAGAAAGAGTTTAATTCGTACATAAAGCGTCCTTCTTAAAAACATTTGTAGATGGGTAAAAGCTAAAAGTGGTTGTAAAAGGTTATGATTAAGAAAGTAAATATGTTTATAGACAGTATCCATATAACCTGCTCAGCCGCTAAAATTAACTTATATTTCGAATTCGAGTAAAAGTAACAATCAATAAGAATGTGTGTTTCATCTTCTACAGCAGCTTGTCTCATTCCTGTACAGAACTGGCATATTCTGTCGTGGGGTAGGAGGCTTGGAGTATCTTCCTGTCTCAATTGCTAAGGGGAGGTTACCACATCTGAACTTAGAAAGGATACGTAGTTGATCCCGATATTTGACTGGCTGAACGTAGCAACCTGTCAGTTTAGTCTTGAATGTTCTGTAGGTTCGGACCTTGTTCCGGTTTGGTTTGTTGTGGTCGTTCCATAGTTCACGTGTCCAGTCGTTGATATCGCATTGAGTAAAAATGTCTTTAAAAGCATCTATTTTCCTCTTACTTGGCTTATCTGTGTCGATTATATCTGTAGCACCGTGGTTTTCCAACAACTCCCAAGATCTCAGCTGTTTTTTCCCCCCACTAATGCATTATACGGACGATTGTATCGCTTTCTGTCTTGTTAAGTCTTGTAAGGACTCTGCAAACCTCCGTGCGCTGTTTCTCTGTGCAGATGTCCAGCCCATATCTCCACGTGTCCCTATGCTGGAGGCGTTTTGTCCTGTTACCAGGAAGTACTTGCAGGCTCTGTTCTGTACTGTCTGCACCTCTCTGTACATGTTGATTCCTCAGATTCCGGCTCCATAAAATAGCTCTGGCTCTACAAGACATCTGTATAGCTTGGTATATATATCAAAGGACATCCCTGCAGCTCTTAGACTTGGTATAAAGGGAAGAAAGTGCTCTGCTTGCAGACTTGCATAGTTCTCTCACTGTTTTCCTCAAATCCATGTGTTCGTTCAACCATATACCAAGATATCGGTGGTAGTCGGTATACTCAACAGTCTTGTTTCCGCAAGTAAACTTGAATTCGCTACTTTCTCTTGAGGGTATGCGAAGGTTAATCACTTTAGACTTTCCAAAGTTTATGTCAAGTTTGCATCTGCTAAACCATTCCATTCAACATTTTCTGGAGAGATTCTTCGTCCGGGATTATGAGAGCGATGTCGTCTGCATATGAAAGTAAGGATAACGTCATATCGGTGACATCGACTCCGCAATCTAGCTTTTTTTATCTCTTCCGCTAGGTCGTTGGCGTAAATGGGAAAAAGGATAGGGGAGAGTTTACAACCTTGTTTTACACTAATGTCAACTTTCAAACTGTCAGTGATATATAGTCGTTGATACGTAATGAACAGCTGACGTCATCGTACAAATATTGCACTGCGTTGCTAATTCTCTGGCATCCCCATCCGCATCAGTTTATACCAAAGACATTTCCTACCTACCGTGTGAAACGCCTTACGTAGATCCACAAAGCATATAAAAGTAGATTTTTTGTTCATTTTTTCTGTTGTTGATTAGACCATACAGAGAGTATATGTGATCTTCACAGCTCAGGTCGGAGCGAAAGCCGTTCTGTTCCTCTGCTTGCAGACTATTCCTTTCTAACCATGCTTGAACTCGGACATTTAGGATATCGGCGTAGATCTTGCAGGGTACAGATATGACCGTAATACCTGTGTAACCAAGCGGCTCCCGAGGGTCAATTCCGTCCTTTGGTATAGGTGTGATGATGCCCGTGCGCCATTCAGCCGGGCTTACACTGTTTTCTAAACAAAAGTGAAGTGCGGTGAAGTAACAATTCACAATTACACAATTACAGAATACAATCTGGAATTATTTCACAATCCTGTTTCATCCATGATATCTGTCATCACTTGAACATTAACATCATCAATCTTCTTCAATTGCTCATGTGGTTCAATCACAAAATCAACAACTGAACAACCACAACCCTTATTTGAAACACATGTAAAATCATTGTGGCCAACACGATGTGTGAATTAACATTAGTGTCCAAGATTTCACGATCACATACAGAATCTACATTTTCTATAAAGTCAGATAGTGCGCCACAACGCGCGTTCCAATCACCCACGAGCAGGTGTTCTGATAGGCGTGCACTTTCTCAAGCAGGCGAGTAAAAAAATAGGTCAGAGTCATGTGACTTGTTTGAGCCAATCGGAGGGAGGTATGATACACATACGCACATCTTGTCGACTGCTACATTGGTGGATACGAGTAACCGAAGCAGATCATCATGTTCATTATCTAACACCTCAAGGGGGCGGTCTGGTAGCCTAGCGGTTAAAGCGTTCGCTCGTCACGCCGAAGACCCGGGTTCGATTCCAAACATGGGTACAGTGTGTGAAGTCCATTTCTGGTGTCCCCCGCCGTGATATTGCTGGACTATTGCTAAAAGCGGCGTAAAACTAAACTCACTCACTCACTCTAACACTTCAACAGTGTTACCCGCTAAGAAGTCATTATTCACTAATACTCCCACACCTCCCGATCCTCGTTTAGCGTGCTTATGTATACTTTTTCTGTTATTACCAATCCAAGTATAGCCGTCTATACACAGATTTCCATCACCTTTAAAACAGTTTCACAAATACCAAATAAATCACAGTCTAAAAAAGAAACTGTTGTTATCTTCATTGATGTGGGACCATCTCCTTAGATTCCACACTCCAAGCCGTAAATCCTAATCCCGGGGCCCACGTCGATACCTCTTCTTAGAAAGGAAGCCTTTACGTGTTATGGCGTAATCACTTTTCTTCCCTATTTCTTTCAGAAGTGTCCTTCCATCGTCGACAGGTTTTAATCCTCAATGTATTATCACTTTTTATTGTATAAATTGTTTTCGTCACGACATGGCTGAGATATTGCCGATGTGACGTTAAATATTAACTCACTCACTCCTTCACTCAGAAGTGTCCTCATGTTGGCGTTCTGTTTCCTGATGTCAGCTTGTATGTGGTTCTCTATGTAAACCCGTTCATATGTTCTATTTTTTCTCTTTCGTTATTGTCTTCACTTGTTCAGTGTCAGCGATGGTAACAACAACTACCCCAGGGGACTTCCCCCACCCCATTTTGCGCTGAATGTCATGAATTTCCAGACTATCTCGCTTGAGAGAATATATTGTATTCTCTGTCACCTATTCATTTTCAGTTTCATCTGCATGTTCAGGGAGATTTTAATTTCTATAGTCCAAGACAGATCTTCGCCGTTGTTACAGTCAGTTGTCCGATCGCCAGGCTGAGGTGTCAATGGCGGAGCACGTCTGACGAGCTGGCCATCGCAGATGAATCTTGGGCGAATCGTGGCATAATTTTCTTCTTATCTTCTTATTTATGCACTTACTTCACTCATTCGCGTGATAATTCACCAACTTTGTATTGTTTTCACTTCAATTTCAATTTTTGTCTCGGAGCTGTCAAACGACACGTCTCACTCACAGGGGCGGGTAACTCTCAAACAACCAAGCTTGCCGTGAGAACCGGGACAATACAGGCAGTAAGGGTGCACGTGAAACAACCGTGACAAAACGCCAAACAAACGTGGCCGAACGTGACAAAACTTCATAAAATATTTATTATTTACAAATCAGTTAGCAAATCTAATTCCTTTAAAAACGCAATAATTAAATGAG